AGTACTGTTTGTGTTTGAGCCACAGTATTGATGAGACTTGCTTTTTAGACTTCAGCAAAAATTTACGCTTTTGACCTAACAGAAACGCGCATTTTTGATCCCACCACGGAGTCGTGGGATGAGGGGAATATTTTTTAAATCGGGTATAATCTTTGACAACGGAATTGCAAATTTCTTCTGTGTTCCTTGTGCTGAAATTATTATTTGACAGAACTTGAGCGATTGCATTTTGTGCATTTTGCACATGAAGGTACGGGCGTGGTGAGCAAGAGTTGTTTAATGAAAATTTAACTTCAGTTAAAACTGGGAAATGGTCACTATCAAAAGGGTCTGGAAAGACTGAGAAGTAAGATTTCTGGAAAAATTCGGGGGAAACTTGAGTAAGATTTAGTAATGACTGTTGATGATGCGGACCGCTAAAATGGGTGGTAGTATTTGTATTCAGGATAGTAATATTATTTAACAGGATCCAGTCAACATAAATTTCAGCTGTCTGGGAGGCCGAGACCAAGCCGAATGCACGGTGTCGTACCTTAAAATCTCCGATGATAATGAAAGACTTTTGTATGTTGCAAAAAAAAAGAAATTCCAACCATTGTGCGGAATACATTCCGCCTGGTGAATAGATATTTACTACCGTAATTCTCCTGTTAGTATCCAGGATATTGACACCGAGTATCTCAATTCGGGAAGGGGGGAGATTATGGAAATCAACTCTTTGAAATGGTATAGGTTTTGAGATAGCTAAGAGAGTGCCATCTCTATGGTTAGGAGGGTCACGATCCTGTCGGAGGGTAAATTTACCCTTAAAATTTATCTGATCCTCTGATTGAAGAAAAGGTTCTTGGATGGTGATGATATCAGCCTCTGTGAAAATGTTTTGAACCAGCCAGTGGCGTTTATTTCTAAGACTTCTAGCATTCCATTGAATTATATTAAATATCGGAATTGAGATAGTTTATAAGAAATAAAGAAAATTTTTTTTAATAAGTCTCTCTAAACGTCTGGGACAGAGTGGGTAGTAAGAGTTTGTTTTTTAAAAAAAAATCATTTTCTAAGGGCTCAAGAGACAATTAATCATCATCGTTATTCAACGGTATTAGAGGCATTGATAAGGAGTTGTCCATATACATGCGCAGATCTTGGACTACAGGTTGGCCAGCTGTTGGGAGAGGTTTTGTAGTGAATTGCACATAAGTTGGGGGAGTGTTCGATTTCTTCTTTTTTTTTTGCCTGCTCTGGAGAGAAGTCGGAAGGGTGGGTTGAGATTTTGATTTCTGTAAATGCACCCTAGGGAATGGTGCTTCGTTGGATGTTTGCTATCGCTGGGATAAGTATATTATTTATAGAGGCCGTCAAATTCTCAATTTAGGCCACCAGTATAGAAACTTGCTTTGCGTGCGCAGGCATTCTCGACTAGTTCTCTGCATGGATCCCGTGAACTTGTTAAGTTCCGATTTTAACTCTGCTCGGGTAATGTATTCTCCTGGCACAGACAGAGTTATTTCTGCGTATGAGTTTTTGTTTAAATAAGCTATTCTTCCAGCTTCACACATCGAAACATGATGAGTAGACTTAATTCTGATTAGTTTTTTAAAGTTTGAAAATGCGGGCAATTCCGTTGAATTGGATTATGACTGCCGTTACAATTTCTGCAACACGGGTCCCTAGTGCAAGGGCCCTGATGTTCAAAAGATAGGCCTCCACAATTGTGGCATCCGGTTGGGGATTTACAGTATTTGTCGGGACGGCCAAAACCCCAACAGTTCTTGCAAAAAGTCACACTATCTTGGCAAAGTTTAGTTTCATAGTATTGTTTCCAGAGAAGGATTTTCTCTGGGACAACTGTACCTAAGATGTTGAATAGGATTGTGGTTGTCGGTTTCCCTTTTTTCAGAAACAGACGAATTTCTAGAGCCCGTGCCTTGTTTTCTAAATTGAGCTCCCGACTAATGTCCGAAACCGAGGTTTCAACAGGAAAGTTCCGGAGGATAAATTAGGTGGAAATACATTCTGGAAGACATTTAGCTGCTACAGGAATCTCTAATATTGTGTTTATCTTTAAGATGTGTTTCGCAGTTTCTAAGTCGTCCCATTGAATAAGGAGCGACCCGCCTTTTTGAATCTTATAATTTTAATTCCTTTGGTACAGAAGCAATCAAGTCCGCTTTCAGGCGTACCGGTGAGGTCTGTGGTATTGCACAAGATTTTTCTTTTGCTTCAATGCTAAACAATAAGTCTGCTGCGCTGTTGCTTTTGTCTTGAACCAGTATATCTTCTATGGGTTCCTTGGAGCATCACTGGTAATCTAAGAGATTGTTCATTTTGACCGGATGGCCCCCAAAAGGAAGAGAGTCAAAGTGGCTTACCCGTTTTTTGGTAATCTTGAAATAAGCAGGGCATTATTTATCACCTTGCTTTGAATTCATTGATGCTCCCCTGTCATCCAACACAAAAGTAGTGATACTCTGAAAAATTATAATAATTCGAACACAAACTTCAACGTGACCTTTCTTCAGTGAAGAATGCCAGACATCACCTCCTGAACAACATATTTTGAACATGAACTAAAAACAGTAGTTCTCCAAATAAAAAAAGTTTAAAAGACTTCATTCTAATGTAACCTCTTTTCTACTTCATATGCATTCCAAAACTGGTTCTCACTACAACGTTAGAGATCTACGGAATTCATGGAGAGATTCATGGGTACAAAGTACTAGCGATGGGTACAGAGTACTAGCTGTTCAAAGATCTTTAAACATGACATTTCGCTTTTCAATTAATCCATTAAAGTGAAAGTTTTGTACTTTTACTTCTTTTCTTGTAATTGTACTTTTCACAAGTGCATATGTATTTAAAAAACTGTTTTTAAAAACAATACAATAATTCTTAAATAACAATTGAAAATAGCTAAAAATCTAATTAAGTTCAATTAATTGAATTTTCATTTTTAAAAAATATTTTATCTCATGTATGAGTTTTTTCTTTTAAGTATGAGTGTTTTCTTTTTCCGAATATATTGATAAAAGCGTCGATTCTAAATTTTAAACACATATTTACAATGTAGAAAAAAGAAAACAATCTTCGGAAAATATTTATGTTTTTAAGATCACGTTAACCCTTTACACATTACAGACAGGTAAAAAAATCGTTTAATTTTCAAAGTAATTTCGATTGATTAAGAGTAATCCAATAAAAAGAAGAATCAGGAATTATAATTTGTTTTTTTTTTCTTCAGGAATTATAATTTTTATAATTTGTATTTAGTTTTTTTCCCATTTGAATAAAATTAATTTTATGTATTCCCTTTTAGAACTAAAGATAACTATTTACTAAAGATTTCTCGATATCATCGGTCACCAAACGGTGGCCCGTAGGACGAACGAAGCGAAGTTGTGAGTTGTAGTTTATTTACGTTGCACTAGAGCTGCACAATGAGCTATTGGCGACGATCTGGGAAACATCCTTGATGGTGATCCGTAGACATGCCATCACAATTTTGATCCTCTGCAGAGGGGATGGCACCCCCGCTTGGCGAAGCTGTGAAGTCACACGGATTGAATATTATTACTTTTATTGTAATTATTAGGTAAACTTTAGTAAATAGTTGTTAGACTTTTCCTTCTCATCCTTATTCGTGATATTTAATGTTATGATTCATCGAAACTATGCAGTATGTGATAATTTTTGAATTTGACACCTTGAATGAGTTTTTAATTAATAAAATTTTTATTAATCACTGAAGAACGTTGATTTTGTTTTGGAAGAAGACTTTCAAAAATCCACCCACTCTAATAAGTTAGAGAATTTTTTTATTGTTCTATACAACATGAAAAAGATAATGATTTAAAACTATTTTTTTCATATTTCTTATTGTTTCACTCTCTTATTAGATTAAAAACTCATATGATGGAATCCTTAAGTTCATAAAGATAACATGGAAATTTTTTAACTTACATCAACAAGAAATAATTGAATTTTATAACAGTATTTACTATTAAAATAAATATCTTCCATTTATTTGACAATATTTAATCGGTACACTTATTTAAAACCTTTTCTTACTATTCTCTATTATTATTGCGCTTATTATTTTGATTATTACTGCAAACTAAAGGGCTTAAGCATAAAAGCTGTGTCATCATTTTATGTTGAACATGCTTAAAACGGAATTATTGAAAGTTTTATAATTATTCGACAGAAAATGAATTATATTTATAATAAGTTATCCGTGTTCAATATATATTTGTAATGAAAACAAAATTGTAAGGCATTGATAGGCATTTATTTTTCACATTATTATTAAATAACCTCCTTGGGGAAAATTTTTTAACGAGTTTTTATAGTGACAAAAAAATTAAACTGGAATTTTTTTTATAAAATGCAAATGAAAATGTAATAGAGACCAAGCAAAATTATTAGGCTTAAATTTTATCCCAATTGAATCAGGAAATAAATCTGTGTTATTAGAATAAAAGATTTTGCAATATTTTATTTGAAATTTTTTTTTCATTTTGATTATCTATACAAACTATAGCATAGCAATTGTGGGAGTAAATGTACGAAGCTAGCTGGGAGTGTCGTCCCGTGGTTTTATCCATTAATTGTTTTCAAACACTTATTTGAAGGAAGAAAAAAACATTTGCTAAACATAACATTTAGTTACTCAGTCTTTTAGACTATGATGGAAACTAGTGATATTTATATTCAAATAACATTTTGTTCCATTCAAACTTATGTATCAAAAACAATTTGTCCAATATTTGTATCGTTTTAAAAATTCATAAGCTGAATGAAATGTTTATTATGAACATAAATCATCTCGATACATCTGCAAAGAAAATTTATGAAACAATTGAGAAATAAAAGCTCTAACGATAATCGATATTATAATATTTATTTACGACCTTCTGAACAGACGATGCCATGATCCTATTCATTCGGCATTTACGTTTTGCCACACATGACAACTTTTAAATCATTTCACCGAACATTCGAAACTCTTCTCTCTCCTTTTATCTCAGTATTTTTAAAATGTTTCTTATAAGACAACATTACAGAGAATACAATAGTTTCTTATGAATTTAATTTAAAAAAATTATCGCTTTTAATGAATTTTTAGTAAAATTATAATGAAAGCTTTGGGTTACAATAGTCGAACTAGTTGGATAGCCCTTCTTGCTTGTACTGTTATCGGATTTTTTATCGTTTTGCCAATGCGTCTGTCTGGATTGTTTTATGTCATTATCATAGACAGATATAGAACAGATAGAGAGCTTGCAACCCTTCCTATTGTTATCTTTGGAATATTGAGAACTCTTACAGGTAAGATTTTTATTTTTCAATAAAAAAAAGCGACATTTTCTTGCTTAACCTCCTGTGATCCAAGCCTTAAATAAAAAAAATGCTATTTTTAACTTAGAAATGTGCTCCTTAGAAGACAATAAAATCTCATAAATGTTGAAATAAGTTATTATTCCTTTTAAAAAAAATTCGATTAACTAAACTTAATAAACGTTCATGAGTCATTTTTAAATATATCCTAAAAATGATACATTTTAATTCTTGCATTCTTTTTTCCTTTTACATATTGTAGAATATATGTCATATTTTGGTCGTGAAACAAATTCCGCTTAACTCAAATAATTAGATATGCTATGAAGCTTTCGAAAGGTTATTTCCTTTGTTTTTAATGATTTTTCATCGTCATGAAAAGCTTTGACCAACGAGGGTACATTTAATTATATTTTGTTTTTCAATTTCATTATTTTTATAACTCCAAAGAAGAGGAATTGTGAATGGATAGATGTAAATGCAAATTAACTCTATTATTAAAGGTTGCAAGAAAATATTGAGTACCGTCAATCACTTTGAGACTCTTTTCGTTCTTTTCACTTACTTTATGAAAGATCTATTAAATGGCTTTTTAACGTCCAAATTCAGTTTTAGCCAATTGACAAAGCATAGCAAATTAGACTTCACAATTAATTTTATTTAAAATTATTTTTAGATATTTTCTTCGTGTAATTTTTAAAATTTTGGCGAAAAGTAGACCCTGCTTAGGACTTCTTTAGAACACTCACTTATTTTAATGGTATTTGAATAGAATTCACTTCACGGTTATTGCAACTTCTTGTAGAAGAATCTGCAAATGAAATTAAATCACTATTTAGCACCAACAACAAAAATTGTTTCACAAACTATTAAAAGTAACATTTTATATTTATAAAATCATGACAAAAACTCTTGTTCTGTTTCTATGGCGTTTGAATGCTAAACTTTTCATTCTTATTTTTAATCCTCAAGAGTATTAAAAGAATCCATTTGCTCTTATTTTCTTGATATCAGCTCACTCGTAAACCAGCTTGTAATCGAGTTGAATCTAGTTTGTTATCGAGCTTGATCTTATGGGTTATTTTTAAGGAAGCTTTAAAATGTGAGAAGTTAAACAATTAACATCACTTGGAAAAAATGACTAAGCGTAATATTTTGACCTTATTCTCTCTCAATGGCATGGCAAGTTTGGAGGTAAACAATTTACTTATCGAAACAAAGCAGTCTTAAAACACGTGGACATTTAGTAACAACAAATAGACATTTAAGCATTAGCGTTTTTTAAGCTTCTCTTATGAAAATCATTATTAATTTTAAAAAAAAAACTAATGAAACCAAATAAATGCGATGTTGTTCTATATTATGAAACTAATTGTTCATTTGCCATAATCACTAGACACATTTTTTAAAAATTGTTTTGAAAGTATCTTAAAAGTGAATAGTTGTTCTTAAAAAGCAGTGTCAGTTCCTTTAAATTTATGATAGTAATATAAAATTGACTTTGTTCGAATTTTGATTTTTAAAAACCACTTCATCATTTAGTGATCTGAATATAAACAAATCATCAGTAAAGTAACATCTGTAATATACCCAACCAGCCCGACCCCAAAGTACGGGTGGTTATGCTTAAAAAAAGTAAAGAAAAGTGATCGTTTAACAGTTAAATTTGGTTTAATATAGAAAAAGTGCACTTTCTTAAACACGCTTTTCTAATTGTGTCCATTTTCTTAAAAATTCATTTTGATCTGCGATCATTTTGTTAAAATGTTTTACAATGGCAAAATTTTTAAATTTCTAAAACTATTAAAATAGGTTACAAATTATTTTTAAGCACAAAAATATCCATACGCCTTGTTTTGTTTGTTCAGAACAAAAATTAACGAATTTTTTCAAATCGAGCGAAAAAAATCATGGTCGACGTTATCTAATACACAACTTGAAATATTTCGTATTACTAATCCTATTCTTAATGGCTCTTTCCGTTTAGTAATAAACTTATATTTTTTGCCTAATATCTCAAATGCATTCACAATTATCCACGTTCACTCGATTCATTTCGGGTTTTTCCCATCTTAAAAGGCGTAAGCTGTACCAACGTGATACTTGTAGAAGCATAATAATCTGTTTTACGTATTGTTACAGTTTTGATACACTAATACAAAAGTATGAACCAGGGACACGTTACCTATTTGAAATGCAACCAATTGGTCACCAGAATTAAAATGGTCTGAGCCTTTCTGAACTATGCATTTTGAGCTTTGCCCATTTTCTTAAATAAGCAATTTAAGCGTTGTACATTTTCTTAAACGCGGTTTTTGAACTGTGTCCGAAATAAAAAGAGTTCACTAACAAGTGCTTTTAAAAACATAGTTGGAGTACTGTGTAGTTATTAGATGCTAATCGATATTTATGAGGTTTTAATATTAATAAAATAAGCAAGAGGAAATTTACAAGAACGCATTTTTAGACTAAATTTGGTTTTATTCAGATTTTACGAATTTTTTTAATAATTACCAAAAATTTAAATAACCAATTTAATGACTTCTTAAAATATGCATTTTTTTCAGAAAGAAAATAAAATATTACTAAATAGGTGTACAATTAAATTTCTTATGCACCATTAAAAATAAAGAAAAGTATTCAAATTTTAATTTGAAAAAAAAATACTGAGATTTGTTCCAAATGAATGATAAATAAACTTATTTTCATGATTTAAAAAATTGCTTATAGTTTGAAAATGTTAGCAAGCCTCTATCTTATAATGTTTCTAAATAAGTCAATAATTTTGACCTTTTGAATTGCATTATTGAAAGTCAGCTGCAATCTAATTATTACTTTCAGGTCCCTTCACCGGTTATTTAGGACAAGTATTTGGATTTCAAGCAGTCACCATGATTGGTTGTTTACTATCAGCTTTAGGTATTGGATTTTGCTATTTTGCAGAAGATATCATAGCTGTAGCAAGTTCTCTCGGCCTCATATACGGTATGTATTATACTTTCTGAATTATTGTTGGTTGCAACTTGAATAAAATGATTAGTCTTCTAATTAAACCTTAGTATTGTAAAATCGACATTAAAAAAAACGACTCAGCATCATATTAAAAAAAGATTTAACTACGGGAGAAAACCTAAATAAAAATGTCTTTTTCATCTATTAAAATTTTAATTTCAGGGAAAACTAAGGTTTCAAATGCAGAAAAAAAATTTAATGTATCTAAATGTAATCTATGTAATCTATGGCCTGATCACTCATGATTTGGCAGTTAGTAAATAATCCTGATATACATATATATATATATATGCAAATTCTTCAATATTTCATCGAAATGTTTTTTCAGCTCTCTTTTCTCTAAACTTTTAAAATACAGATTCGGTATAGCGTTCTCTTCATGACGTCACAAATTTTCAGTAATATACAGAATATTTCAGAAAGTTTATGCTTGCACTAAAATGTTAGTCTAAATTACTGAATACAGCGTGTCAGGTAATGATTTACACTAAATGTTAATGTTTATTTAAAAGTATCTTAAGCAAATTTTCAAATAATTGCGAGAATATTACGACCTGTAAAATCTTTACTAATTTTTCTAATGAACACTTTTAGCCCTAATTCAGAGCTCCAGAAAAGTTGCCAAACTGCGGGTCCCAACTCCTTTTGCTGATATTTTGGCCCATTCCTATAAGAAGGATAATTTCAGGAATTCCTAGATCTTATGAAGTAATGAACACAAACTCTTGTCTTAAAGATGGCCATCTTTGTATGCTAAGATACTGTTAGAAAGTTAGAAAAATGTACATTTGGCCCAATCTCGAGAGGCTTGTTGAAAGATCTTGTTAAAAGATCAATGTTTTGTTTATTTCTGTAATCAAAAAATTTGTATATTACCTTAAAAATATAACTTTCAAGCTGAGTTTGTGACAAAAATGTTTGGTTGTGAACCTCAGTCATATTTATCCCTATCATTTTAGAAATATGTAACTTGTAAAATGGAGTCAAGTATAAGTGAAACTGATTTTTTTAAAAACTTGATATATAGGGTGCAGTCTAAAAGTTTTTTTTTGCAAAAACGACCCGACTGGATAAAACAGTAAACTTTTCATTTTGTAATGTAGATAAATTAAGTGTTAATCGAGCTTAAATTTTAATTTTTACTCGATCTATGGTTAACATAACGCTTTAATTTTTGATCGAGCGTAGATATTTTCCTCATTCAAGCCTCATCTTGTTCTGAATTCAAACAAACACCGGTTCTGAAGCAAATGAAGACTTTTTCTCCTTCCTCAGACATACATGAAACAGAGCTCGTTAAGTAATTTCACAGGTTGTACCTCTCTCCTATCTTCGGAGATCATGTCAATATGAGAAAAATGTTATATTCAAAGCGAAACAGTTAAGATGCTCACCACATATTTCAATTGTGTATCCCTTGTGTTTTTTTAGACACATGCAAAATTATGAATAAAAAACCCGTTTAAGTAACTAAAAAAGCACTCTTTTTGCCCTCGTAACTTGGCCTTCACTTGGCAATCAAATAAGTATGATTATTCATACTTATTTGATTTTTAGTAACATGCAAGCCTTCTGATGTGCAATAGAAAAATCCACGTCAGCTTGGAAAATTTAAATTTAAGATATTTATAAATGTGGTATTTTTATACAATACATGTTATATTTTAGATACATATTAAAAATCTTTTTCAAAAATCAATTTGTTTTATCAGTTTTCAAAAACGTCTGTACAATACTGACAAACTTTTTCCACGTCGTTTTTTCATTTGCATGTTAGTGTAGCGTAACTACCACTAGTAATGTGGCGTAACTACTACTATAAATATTAAATACCAATGCACTACTATATAAGACGTGTTAATTTGATTCTACCAAGAGGTACCTTTTGATAGATGACGGTTGACATACACAATTAATTAAATTCCCTTAGTAGTAATAGGCATAATACACTCCGAAAAAGTGATTATTTGGGATATCCAATAATTAGATTTCCACGTAATATATAGAAATTAACTAGTTAACACAACTTAAATAGGCTAATTAACCAGTGCAGGTGTTTTCCTATAAGTATCGATATTAGACGCAAAATGTATTTTCCTTAAGAAAACAAACTTTATTGTTAGATTATCACATCCTGAAATCTCAAATATCTTTTTTGGTTGTTGCTGGAAAATAAAAACTCGAAAGATCTGTCCAAAATCTTACATTGTTAGAATTCTAATCTTAGTATTGAGTTTTCTTCTGCTAAAATCATTCTACTATGTTCTTTTCTACCGAACTTGATTTCTGGGAACCATTCCATATTTTAAAATTTAGAAAAAAATATAATAATTTTGTTAATGATCTTCCTAGCATTCCACCATTTCTCAATGTTTGGAAATCTTTTTTTTAATATGTTACATTCTGGGGTTCAAGCCATACCCCTTTAACCAGTTTCTTATTGACCTTTTTTTTATTATTTTGTTCAAACTTGTCCCGCTATCTTTCTAAGTTTAAACCACTTAGGGCGTGTTTTCCTCTTTACTTCTCGCTATCAGTTGATGTTTAGGTCCTAAGGAAAGTTCTTGTACTTAGAATTAGAAGCATAGTCTGTCACTTTCTATACTTTCATTCGGACTTTACTGATGATGATTTTTTTTAAAATTTTTGCTTTGTGCTACTCTTATTTAGTTCTTAATTATGAATTCTCTTGTTTAAAAAATTAAAATAAGGAGTTTCAAATTCAATTCTTTCTATATTTATTAGATTTAATAATAAAATGTCATAAATAACTGTTGAAGATTATTTAGTGACTGAATTTTTATTTGGATAAACTTTCTTTATGAATGGGCTCAGATTTTTACTCACGGCTATCACGATGTTAGTTTTAGCTATTTCAGCAAAAGTAAGAATAGTATTCACAAATTCTTACTGCATTCGGTCTCCGAACTTCATATCTTGAGGTAAATAATCAGAATGTGTGAAAATTATAATTGATTTCGTTATTAAATGGGTATCACCATTTATCTTAAAGCAATTTATGGTACTTTACTATCGGAAATATGATAAAAAGTTATTTTCTCAATGTATAATTGTATAAAATAATTTATTAAGCAAAGTTTACAGGTTTTGGTCTGTCGTTTGGAAATACTCTAGTTCCGAATATCTTGAAGCTTCACTTCAGCAAAGACATCAATCTAATCAATGGACTTTACTTGACTGGGTCTTGTTTAGGAGCTGTAATCATGTCACCAATCATCCAGTATCTTTCGAAATCGTATGGGGATTCAGGGATGTTTCTGATTTTGTCTGGAATAGTTTTGAATTGTGTGCCAGCCGCATTACTTTTAAAAAATCCTAATAATATAGAAGAGGAGGAGTTGGAAGTTGGAAATCAATTAGATAAAAAAATGGAAGATATTTTCCATCAAAACCTTGCATTTGTTGGCGACAGCAAAACAGAAGTGGACACTGAAATATATGCTAATTTGCAAAGAAATAATGATTTAATGTTCAAGAATCATGAAAGCTGTATGAATGAATTAAATAATGGAGGAAATATTCATAAAAATAAGGAGTTTTCTGTTGCAGCTAAACCAAATATTGTATCAGCTACTACCGTGAAAGATAAAGGCATTCTTCATAGAAAAGAAAATAATTTTCAACACAATTTTGCAGTGGACATGGAAGTTGATGATATTAACAATAAGATCAACAAACATTGCCAACCTGTCAGTAATGTGGAGAATTGTGACGAAAACGAACAAGAAAAAGATAAATTAAGTTCAGAGTTCTCAAAAAAGATTAGACAAAATAACATAAGCTTAACTTTTCTTGACGATATAAAAACTTTTGAAAAGAAAATAATTAGCATGAATAATCATAACTCATTTGTTGATCATGGTAAATATGGAACTAGGAAAGTAGCAATCATAAATGATGTAGAGTGTAATGATAATACTGAAGTTGAATCAGGAAAAGATCTGAACAAATACGAAGATTCACGAACTAATGAATTTCAGGATACAATAATAAAAAATGAATCCAAGCCAAATTCATTGGATTACGATGCATGCAAGACATCGCAATTTTCTTTACGTGATAGTGAAATCAAAGATGAAACAGAAGATTCGAAAGCTGATGAGTCAGAAGACGTGTTACGAAAAAATTTCAAAAGTTCTACGGATCATCACGAAACAAATGTAGTTCAATTCTCTCTAAGTTGCAATGAAATGGGTGATTCCGAATGTGCAATCAAGATAAAACACAATCAAGTGTCATTAAATCTTATCAGATCAAGTAATGTTCAACTCGAAGATAAAACTGACGAATCTCATATTGATATGCCAGAATGCGCTGTTAAAAATAATTCTAAGAGTGATTCATTTAATACTTCTCGACATAGCGTGGTACAATTCGCTTTAGGAGAGAGTGAAATCAAGGTTGAAACCAGGGATTCTCGAATTGAAGAGCCACAAGAAGTAAAAAATAATAAGCCTAAACGTGATTCAGTGGAACTGGTGAGAACCAGCACTGTTCAATTCTCCTTACCTAATACACAAATTGGCGAATGCCAAACCCACAATTCCTCCGACACCGATTGTAGTAAGAATTCTAAAAGTGTGACATCAAAAAGAATCAGATTTGAAGAATCCACTAGAGTTAAAGGCAGAACATCATTATCGAAATATTTTAGATATGCCAGATCATTCTCTGTGGTAGAAGCAACGGCATTTGACTACTACAAGAAGAGTCAACCAACAAATAAGTTGGCTCGGTTATTTACCGATGCCACCTTTTATCTTATAATGATTGTTCAAAGTTCTCACGCCTTTATAACAACTTTGAACTGGACTATAATCATTGATTACGCCAGAGACAGAGGTATTTCGTCCAATAAATCTCTTCTTTTTATTATGTTCCTTCCTGTTTCGGAAATTTTGGGCAACTTGAGTTTGAATTGGATTACGGATCGTGGTTTCATGACAAGAATAAATTTCTCTATGATTTGCTATCTTTTAACAGGAATTGACGTTTTGTACATTAGCTGGGCTGATAACTTTATGCAAATCATGATAGGCATCATTCTATTTGGAGTATTGTCGGGAGCTCTTCTAACAACATTTCCCGGAATAATTTTTGAGTTTGTGGATAGAGACTTGCAAAACATGGCGATGGCTTCACGTTATGTATTCTACACATTTCTCTGCTTGTCTAAGTCACCTGTTGTAGGTAAGAAATTTTATTTGCTGTTTTCAGCAAGCAGTGATCATTTGTTTTTACTTCATTTTAGTTATATGTTTATACTATAGTTATATATTTTTTCTATAGTTATATATAAAATAGTTATATATTTATATTTTAGTTAAAAAATAGTGCAGTATGGTTAAATTTCAACTGACTGTACATTGAATATTGTATAATCATAGATTTGTTCAAGTTTCTGTTATTTAAATTAAGGCTAGTAGGAAATTAATGGTTATTTATCTTAGAATCTTGTAAAAATTCATATCTCAATCCAGAGATGAGAATGATTAATCTGAAGTTGCTACCTTTAAAATTTTAGAGGAGTGTCATAATAATGATCCATAGGAATGACTCACATTAACAATTTAAATAAATGATAGTTTCAGTAATTCATTTATTTTCTCTTATACAGGATACTTCAGAGGCACGTTGGGGTCATATACTTATATCTACTACATTTTAGCAGGATTATGTACAGTTTGTGCATTCTTTACAAAGCTTACTCCTGTTTTAGTTTCCTTTAGACAAAGAAATAAAGAGATTTAATGAGTGTAGATTTTTTTTGTTACGTTGTATTTCAACATTCTGTACAAGATTATACACTGGTTATCATAAATTAAGGAAAAATCACAAAAATAGCGATAACTCTTTCAAAAGTAAGCCAAACCGTGCAAAACTTGCATATGTTGTCCACTAAGAGTAGCTGAGTAAAATTGCAATATGCAAATTAGTGGCGCTGCACTCGGCTTACGTCATCTGCCTGGAGCATAAAAGTCCAAGTTTGAGAGAAAGCACACAAATTTTACTGTGATTGCGACATTGAAAATCTGAGATAGCCAATTCGTAATAATGACCTCTAGGCATCATTTGCCTGAAGAACTACGATGGAGAGCCATCGGGAGACTAGAGGCAGGGCAGAGTCAATCAGAAGTGGCCAGATGGCTAAATGTGAGTCCATCTGTGGTTCATAGACTTTGGAGGCAATTTCAAACCACAGATTCGGCATCTAGGAGGTTCAGTCAAGGACGGCCAACTGTTACGACCAGTGCCGATGACCGATATTTGACATTAAGTGCACGCAGGAATAGAACCGCTACTCCGACACATCTTAGATCCTCTCTTGCTGCAGCCACCGGAAGGTTGGTGTCAACGTCAACTGTGCGCAGAAGGCTCCACGAAGGTGGTCTGTATGCGAGACGACCAGCCATTTGCGTGCCGCTCACATCACGCCATAGGAGAGACCGTTTGCAGTGGGCCCGACAACATGTCCACTGGACGTCAGATCAATGGAGGCCTGTTCTCTTTACGGATGAGTCCAGGTTTAGTCTAGAAAGTGACAGTAGACGTTATTTGATATGGAGAGAACCTGGGACCCGTTATCATCCATCAAACATCCGTGAAAGAGATGCATACGGAAGAGGCAGTGTCTGTGTTTGGGGAGGCATATCCTTAGGAGGGCGCACATACCTCCATGTCTTTCCAAGGGGAACCGTGAATGCTCAGGTTTATCGAGACAACATCCTTGATGCTTATGTGCGCCCATATGCCGGGGCAATTGGTGATTGCTTCCTGTTACAGGACGATAATGCAAGACCACACAGAGCTCGCATTGTTGATGATTATCTTCAACAGGAAACAATTACTCGCATGGAGTGGCCAGCTCGATCCCCGGACTTGAATCCTATCGAGCACGTTTGGGATGCTCTAGGGAGGCGTGTATCTGCCATCAATCCGCCCCCTCAGACCCTTGCCACGCTTGCAACTGCTTTACAAGAGCAATGGCTCTCACTTCCTATTGAACTGATAGACCGCATAATTGAAAGCATCACACATCGCTGTTTGTGCTGTATTGCTTCTAGAGGCAATCATATTCCATATTAAAGGTACTTTTTCTATTGCAAACCGATACTTCCAATTTGTTTATTTTATACATGTGCTAATTTCTATACTACTATTAATGTCTGATAATTTCTTTTTATGTTGTTTAATACCTTACTATGTGTTGTATATTGTGGGTAAGTTTCATAAAATTCCATGTGTAATTTCTTGAGTTATCGCGATTTTTGTGAATTTTCCTTAATTTATGATAACCAGTGTAAATATAACAAATTACCCGACTGGAAAGCAGACATGATTCTGCAAAAAACAGTGTGCAATAAAAATATCCTTAAAATGAAGAACAAAACATGGAACACAGTAATAAACACGGCAGCGTCATCAGTAGGGCATTTCTATACCATCAGTTCAGGAGCAGTTTATTTAGTTGGTTCAAAGTACAGTAGTGGTATAGTTTCTGGAACATGGTTTATAAGTTTGAAAATTGGAATGTTTATTGTCCAAAAATGTTTACATAAGACTGGCCTACAGAGTTATGATAAAGTGATTACATTCAAATCTCTGTAATATTTAGTGTCTAATATAGAATCCATTTTCAGTTAAAATAAGTAATTTTCCCAACACAAATGCGGAAAAAGGCTTATGTCTCACTCTGCTAAAGATAAGGGAGTAATTTTTTCTTACAGAATTTTTATGATATATCCAATAAAAAATTTGAATTTATTGATAGAACTATTCCAAGCTATAAGGATTATATGCAACGTGTATGATTCAAAAACTATAATTTTCATATATAAAATCAGAAATTGCCCTAAATTACTAGTATTATCAAATTAATTTTCATTTAATTTGACTTAACACAAAGAAAACAATGCCTCACGTATCTAAATGACAATCTTGGATACGTAAAAATCTTTCTCAGTAAAAAAGAGTCAAAAAGTGCACTTCTTATTCATAGAGCATTAATAAATTCTAAACTTTTTGTCCTATAAACTTTAGGTTGTTTTTACTTCATTCAGCGTAACAAAATATGTTAGAAATAATACCTAATTTATCTAGATAGAAATATTTTAGTTCTCTCTCTCGAAAAAGTGGAATTTTTATTTAAAATCTATATTAACATGCTATTACTTAAAATCCAATTTTTTTTATTCGTCTCAGTCTAACCTAAATACCTTAAGTTTTAAATAACAAAGAATTGGTGGCTACGAAAATCAAAATGTGGAACATGGTAGAATGTTTCTCGTTATTTTTTCTGATCTAAGCTATTTGTTTTTAATCTCTTTTTTGGTTTGCAGGCCTGTGTAATTATTAGAATGCTTATGAAATTTTTCTCAAAATATAAGCAAATAAAATTATTTGACTTCCGTGTACGCAATTTATAAAACAGTTACAATTGTTAATTCATTTTAATTTGCTCAATTTTATATCACTCATCAAAAGTATGCTATTTGATTTATTTAAAGCTACAATTCGTCAAGTGAGCTTATATAGCTCAAGATGCCTGTTTATTTGAATCGGCAGAGTTGAAAATGCGAATTTACGAGCATGGACTTAACTATTTTTTAAAAAAATAATTAACATAGCATTTGAGCATAAGAGTTTTTCAAACTTCTCTTTTGAAAATTGTATTTAAGGTAAAAGAAAAAAAGCTATATTAATGTAACCAAATAAAATCATAATGTAATGTCATCCCTTGGAGAAAAATAATAATTTTTTTAGTCATTTTTGAAAAAATATTAAACGTAATGATGTCTTGGGATCTTTAAAATTATGACGGTGATATTAATTTACGTTGTATGAATTTTTGATTTTTAGAAGCACTTTCATAATTTAGTCATCTGAATGCGAAGAGAATTACTAGTAAAGTTACTAGTTAAAGTGTAATATATCTATCCAACTTGATCCCTAAGTCCGAGATTTTCCCCCGGAATAATTATGCTTAGTATTAAAAAAAATAGGAAAATTAGGTACGAAATTTTCACTTAATCGTTAAATTTGGTTGAATATTGAAGCGATGCATTTTCTGTTGGGTTGATTTTTTAACGGACAAATTTTTGAAGAAACAAAACAGACGATAGATAAATTCAAAAATGTGTAAAATAAACATATATTCATCACCAAGAGGATAAACCCTGTCCAGGCGATTAAGAATAGAAATGCATAATAAATCTATAAAAGCAAACATGAAAACCAAATGCAAATTTTTAAATATATATATTTAGCTGAGACTAGTTTCTTAAACACAAGCCTTTTGAAAATGCTTTTAAGCAGGTATATTGAACTATGTCCAGAATTACAAGCTCTCCGAAGATTTAATTTATTAGCTCAATGAAGAAATGACTAGTGGTTCGTGATCGATGGTTTGGCCAATCACATATGTAATCAATTTTATTTTATTAACATAATAATGAAAAATAAAACTTCATCTCATTTTTTAACCAGTCACAATAATTCCTAAAAGCAGAGGAGGCTTTAAAAGAAAGTACATATCTGTTATAAAAATATTTGCTGTCTCAATGCATCTTTATGTACGGGGGATAACATTTTACATGGCTATTTCCTTTCTTATAAGAGGTGTGATTTTAACAACTGAAACGTTTTTATTTGAATCAGTGTAAGTTACTATCTGTACCATCTTCAGAGGCACATGTATGACCTCCTTCAGTTGTAAGGCATAATAGATTATTGCAACCGCCATTATTCATGGAACATGGGAAATCTGAAATAAAAATAATTTGTTATTGAAACTTTTTTCTTAAGAAGCTCTACTGTTGTCTGAATGCATTCAATTCCATGGTATGATCTTAAAAATAAGTTTTCTTTATCCTTTTGATTTTTTCGATCAATCTAATGAGTTTATTGCATGAACATTACGCAAAACAAAAGAGAATAACTTAATAACTCATAAACTAATGTAATTAGATTCGAACTTAATGATTCGAGGAACTAACATGAAATTTTATAAAATATTTGTACAAACGATTTATAAATTACAAAACTAGGCACATAAGTGTAATTTCTCTGAAAAAAGGTTAATATTTTTAAAATTGTTCCTTTAAATATAGGGCTATATTTGTAAAATGTGGTCTGTATAGTCCAGGAAGAACAGTTCTCGGAAATTTGCTGCCTTTAATGCTTATTTCGTTTTTTTAAAACAATAAATCGTTTCAAAAATTGCGCATTTTTATTTTTTGAACTATTGACCCGTTCAAATTCTGCTACATCTTTGTGCTGCTATCTATGAAGAAAAAACACGTTAATAAAAAATTATTTGAAAAATTAAAGTAACAAGGCAATTAATAGGAAGAAAATTAATAGAAAATGATGAAATAATTTTTTTAAATTAAATTTTAAAAAAACATTCAAATAGGTAATTGCAGAGTTTAAATTAGAGACTTAAATTAGGAATAAACCACCGATAATTGGTACTCCTTCCAGACGGGGACTATTGTTAAATCAGAGTCTGCATACATGGATAGAAAACCGTTCATAGACTTCATCCTTCATTAATATATTTTTTCATAACAGTAAAGCCTGCGAATTACCACCATTTATCGATCGTGGCTTTCCATACTTTAAAAAAAAGAAACATTATGGTAATAGTAGTAGAAATTAAACTGCTTATTCCCTGGACAATTAAAATTGAATAATTAAAGTTATTTTATAAAGGCTACAATTTATTTAGAATTTTACGTAATAAATTAATTAATGCAATAC